CACAGAGGCAAATTAAAAGGTATAATTAATATATTCGGAAGTTGCTTCTTTTGTCATCTACCCAGTAAATTAATTTCATGTAAGTTAAGCTCAATTGCACACATAAATCCTAAACATAAAAAATAACCCCAGAGATGCTTTACCTTTTTAATAGGAGACAATAACACAAGTTAGCTTAATAAGGATGCTCTGAAATATTGTACATGACTGTATTTATGTAGAACATGCTTCAGAAGCTGCAAGTTTATTTCAGATAGACTAAATTGAGTATGAAAAATAACCATCAAAGCTCAGAATTATTTTTTAAACAGAATATTTTATATCTTGACAGCAAGAAGGTCTGTGGCTCAAAACTCGGTTTATACGGGTTTTCTGTAATGAACTTGCACATCCTCCCTGTGTCAGTCTGGGCTTTTACCGGATACTCCGGTTTTCTTTCACAGTTGAAAAACATACATGTTTGTTAACTGATAAATACTCCTGTTAAATCATACAATAAAAAAAAAAAAAAATCACAACTCAAGTACTCTGATGGTCTACTTATAAAGACAAAAACACAAGTTGTTGTAATCAAGATGGTGAAATACATAGAATATAACACGTTAAATACTTAAAATGGTAACTTTTTCTTAATTGGAGAGTTTCTTTTAGATAGCTAAAATCTGTATCCGAAAAATAATGGTCCACACAGAATATTTTAACATTAAGAAGATATCTGCCTCAAAACCCGGGTTGTCCGGGTCTTTTCATGCACATTCTCTCTGTGTAAGCCTGAATTTTCACCGGATACTCCGGTTTTCTTTCACAGTTGAAAAACATATTAGGTTTGTGTTACATGTATATGCCTGTTTAAATCATACAATAAAAATTTACATAGCAAGTACTCTGATGGTCTAAGTAAGAAAGATAACACAAGTTATTGTTATCAAGATGGTGAAATACATTCAATACAACACGTTAAATACTTAAAACGGTAACTTTTTCGCAAATGGAGTTTCTTTTAAATAGCTAAAATCTATATCTGAAAAATAATGATAAAAACAGAATAGAAACTGAACTGAATTGAATATTTTAACAGTAAGGAGACATCTGCCTCAAAACCCGGGTTGTCCGGGTCTTTTCTTGACTTGCACGTTCTCCCTGTGTAAGCCTGGATTTTCACCGAATACTCCGTTTTTTCTTTCACAGTTCAAAAACATGCATGTTAACTGGAAGATATAAATGAATTGTTGGTGTGTTTGTGTGCAAGAATGTCCAACTCGTATGTCTTAAGGTTTTGACCCTTTGAACTGGTAACCTGCCCCAACACCAACAACCCCTCGCCTGTAACCGTTGGGGCTTTGCACCATCCCCACAGTAAAGTACATATTTGTGTTAATTTACTGAATCACATCCTTTGATAGCAAATTTCACAGAATGAGCTCATGAATGAGTTGTTTTCATAGAACTACAGCTCTTTCACGAGATAATGTTATGTTCTCTCTTATGAACAGGAAGCTTCAGTAATTTAATTTGGCAGAAAGTCATGAAACAAAGACACGTTAAGTAACAATATATAAAAAAAGAACAAACATAACTTTTTTTTAATATAAAGACGTCTGTGTGTGTGTGTCTGTTAGCAAAATATCTAAAGAATGTGTGGGAGAATTTTAATGAAACTTGCAAAGAGCAATTATTGGCTGTACGTCTACTACTATCTACGTAAGGGGCCGAGATGGTGTAGGGGCAGGGCAGTCAACCTGGAACCCGAAGGTCCTGGGCTCAATCCTCAGTCATTGCACATCTCATGGTGTCTCTGAGCAAGACACCCAATCCCGAATTGCCTCCCGGGCAACTTACATAGCTGCCCACTGCTCCACCTGGGTGCATCACAGGTGCAATGGGTTAAATGCAGAGAGCCAATTTTGTCTTTGTATGGGAACTTCTAATAGACCTTAAAATTTGAAAACTAGCTATAAGTTAAATTTTAATGACGTAGCTGAGAGTCATCATTTCACAACATTTTTGCCTTAAACTTTATTACCTTTGTCAACTTACTTTGTTAGTAAAATGTATTTATGACTAATTAACTTTTAGTCAGCCCATCTGAAGATGGCCGCTCCAGCAAATGGTTCTATAAACACTAAAATGGAGTAGAGTCAGTTTTACAGATACTGAGCTAAAATTTGGTGTGGTAGTAGCTGAGCAACATCTCCAACACAAACTTCAAACATATTACCGTATTTTTCGGACTATAAGTCGCACTTAAAATCCTTTAATGTTCTCAAAAATTGACAGTGAGCCTTATAATCAGGTACGCCTTATGTATTAATTCTGGTTGTGCTTACTGACCTTGAACCGATTTTATGTGGTTATTGTGAACGAGTTGAATAAAGTTTGACTTACATGACTGTTTTGTTTCGCATAATGCGCCTTATAATCCCGTGCGCTTTATGAATGAAAACAGACCCGTTCATTGATGTTGCTCCTTATAATCTAGTGCGCCTTATAGTCCAAAAAATACGGTACAGTTTATCATTATTACTATTATTATTATTATCGGCAAGGAAAGCTGCAGGCGATATGCATTTCTTAAGTTTCTTTTTTTTTTTATTTCCTCCCCTTTTTTTTAATTTTGCACAACTGTGTTGTACTGTTTTCAGTCTTGTTGTTGTGTACTTAAAATTCGCCACATCCTTGAATGTAATAATCACATCACAAGATACTTGTTATGATCCATATTTTCATTTTGACGAGTACTTATTTCTTCATTTCACTCAGTTCCTTTAACCTTTTAGACGACCTCTTACTCTTCAGTTTGCGTAAAAACCACGAGATCAAACTGCTTTTTTGCGCTGGTTTTCATAACTCGATGACACGTTCACCGTGTGCGTCACCGGCACAGATTATTTCATCTAAATATGACCCCTCTGGAAATGACACCTCCTGTGGACTTCTCATTCGTATTGGTCCACACAAAAACCCACATCACTACAAAATGTACTTGTATAAAAGTCATATCAGCAGAACATTACTGTTTACAGTAGATCTTACTAAATGGCAACTGTTACAGCTCAACTTGATTTTTAACAAGACTTTACTGTTTTAAAAGTTATGTTGTAATGTGTAAAATTACGTTTTAAACTATGTCCGGATGAATTATTGTTATTCCAGCCATGTACTCACTCACAAAACAAACAGCTCCAGTCAGAAAATGAAAACTTGACATCTCCTCCCTCTAGAGGCTGTAAAAGTTATTGGGTCCTTATGAAATAAAAGTTTTTATATTTATTTTGAAGAGATTTGGATGTTCTGAGCCTTACACTTAAGGTTAAGTATTTCTTAAGTTTTTAACTAAACTTTGAATTCTGATAACCAGGTCAATGTGTAAACATCTGTATTTCAGTAAATACATCCTGAATAAATGTGTGTTTCTTTAAAGTATTAAAAATCTAAAGAGGCAAAGCTAATCCAGCTGGTTTTGGAGACCCCCTAGAGGATAAATCTTAGTCCTACACGAGGCAAAGAAACTGGAAGAAAATGATTTCTGAATTTTCTGAAGAGGATGTGCATCATTCAGCTTCTGAAGAGAGCTGTTTTATCTATGGCAAGACAATTTACCATTTAACACATTCAAGCACATCCATCCATTCATCCCTTTATTTTACCCACTTTTCTTTTCCGGGTTGAGAAGAGCTTGTGTGTAGCCTTCATTGTGTGAAAGGCAGAGTACCCCCTGGACTAGAGTTGCATTCAGGCTTAAAAAAATCTGGCCCGTGCCCGTAAGTTTTTTTTTCCGAACCCGACTACAATCGATCATCCATCCATCCATCCATTATCTTTACCCGCTTATTCCATTTTTGGGTCACGGGGGTCACTGGTGCCCATGTCCAGCAATCACTGTGCGAGGGGCGGGGTACACCCTGGACGGGTCGCAAGTCCATCACAGGGCCACATAGAGACAAACGGGACAAACAACCATTCACTCTCTCACTCACATCTAGGGACAATTTAGAGTTACCAATCAGCCTAACATGCATGTTTTTGGTCTGTGGGAGGAAACCGGAGTACCCGGAGAAAACCCACGCATGCACGGAGAGAACATGCAAACTCCACCCAGAAAGGCCCCTGGACTGGGGTTTGAACCAACGACCTGCTCGCTGAGAGGCAGCAGCTCTACCAGTTGCGCCACCGTGCTGCCCCTAGAATTGATCATTTAACCGTAATTAGAGGCCCAGACCCCCCCCCCCCCAAAACAACTTATTTTTTTAATTAAGCTTTTACTGCTCTTGTAAGAAAATCAGTTTTACATAATATTTTAAAAACGTATTTCAAAGAAAGGAAGATATAAGAGTTCTTGTTTCACCAAATGGACATTACCGTACAAACGAATAGCCTAAAAAAAATCTACTCTAAAGACAGGCTATTATACAAATGAACAAAAATATTTTTAGCGCTAAATTATTTAGAAAAACATAGAACAAGGCTATTTTAATTGATGCTATTTCAGCAGATGACAGCAGGTGCGCAGCCGGTGATCAGCTGATCCATCTGAGCTTAAATGAACATTTTTTAACCTCCTTCAACCAGACAGTCGGACCTTATATATATTTATAATTTTATATTGTGATGTGAATTCTTATTTAGTTTTATTTGTACTGTATGATTAATAAAACCGAATCAAAAGCCCAAGACCGACCCCGCCCGTCCATCCATCCATTATTTAGAAATTACAGCTCTACCCTGGACGGGTCCATCAGTCCATCTCAGGGCCACATGCGGCTCTTTCATAACACAGTTCTGAGAAATGGCTGCACAGATCAGTTTGTTTTTGAGCTTCCTCTGGCACGTTCATAAATCATAGATGATGCCGGCCACTTCTGGCTTGCTGCCTCACTCAGTGCCACAGAACAGCTCCAGGGGGCTGAGTTGCCACGTTTTATTATATGTTACAACGGCTTGCCTTATAGGGCTGTCTCGAGCTCGTTCCGGGAGATCATCTCCATTGGCTCCTCACTGGACGGTCCTGTCCCAGTTCTTCGAGTCGGACCAGTCTGAGCAGATCCACCGTCTCACATCAACTGCTGGACGAAATGGACTTCTCCATCCGGGCCGCGAACGTGGAGGACTGCAAGGACATCGCGCGGATGATCAGGGTTAGCTATGACACGTGCGCACCAGCGGCATATGTGACTCGAGACCCCGTGACGTCACGGGGTCGCTATCTGAACATGGGGTTATTTGTGACATTAATTCGGTTTTACTGCGTATAATCAGAAACCAGGTGTGCACAGAGAGTTAGGGGGCCTTACTAAACTACAAACAGACTTATGTAAAATGACAAACAAGTACAATATTGAATATGGTGTAAATATTTGTTCTTTTCCCCAGGAGCTAGCAGAATACGAGAAAGTGTCTGACCACATTAAAGTCACTCAGAAAGGTAATGTGCTCGTTTCTCTGCTCTAACAGTATATATACACACACATATGTGAATATATATATACACATATAAGTATATAGTATATATATACACACATATAAGTATATATATATATATATATATATATATATATATATATATATATATATACACACACATACATAT